AATCAACAACTACTTTTTTATTTCGTGACAAACTACTACCTTATTAATTTTAGCTATTACCTTATTAATTTCAATTAGCTTAATTATCAATTCTTGCTCATTTTCATGTATCGTTAATATAAAGTCTTGGATAAAGCAAATTAGGGTGATAAAAACAAAGCAAAGCCTACTGAAATGAGATGGATTATTAAGCCTAAAGTTTCAAAAAAGTGAGGAAGATTATTGGTGATACTTTAAGAATGTATGAACGTCTTACCATATACTAACCAACCTAGAAAATTTTATTAAGGTGATTCTAGTTTTGTTTGATACCTTAATTAGTTTTTTTCCTATTGGACGTAGATGATTTGATGAACTAACATAGTGGAATTGGATAATTCCTATCTACTATATCCCAAAGGTTAGTTGTCGGGTTCGATAGGTTGAAAGTTTTGATGACAAATTAAATTAAAGCCTTAATATATATTTTTTAAACTGATTAATCAAATTACAGAGGTTTTTCAGTGCGGCAAGTCATATGGTGCGGCACGATTACTTGTATTTTAGGGTTACTTGTATTCAGGAGTTACTTGTATGGGTTACTTGTAGGGTGTTACTTATATTATGAGGTTACTTGTATCGTGGGGTTATTTGTATGTGTTACTTGTATTCTGAGTAACTCCTACAAGTAACTCTAGACCAAAATCCCATACCAAACCAGTAACACCCTACAAGTAACCCCTGATCAAACCAATAACACCCATACAAATAACCCTAGAATACAAGTAACACCTTCAAGTAACCTGACAAAACCAGTAACCCCCTACAAGTAACCCCGACCAAAATCAGTAACACCCATACAAGTAACCCCAGAATACAAGTAACACCTACAAGTAACCAGTAACACCCTATAAGTATCCCTGATTTAAACCAGTAACACCCATATAAGTAACCCCATAATACAAGTAACACCTAACAAAACCAGTAACACCCTACAAAAGTAACCCTTGCCGCACCATGTGGCCAGCCACATACAAAAATTTGTAATCAAAGTAATACTACGTGTTTATTAATTTGTTTTATTTGTTTTTTAGAAGAGCAGTCACGAAGTAATTATAATTTTAAGTTATGACGTGTAAGAAATCGATAAAATTTATGTATAAACCTGGGCACGGGCCGGGTTGGCCCGCGTGCCGCCCGGCACGGCCCGCCGTTCGGCGCAGCCCGGCACGGCCCGAAGTCAAGCACGGCACGGCACGAAGTTCAACTTCCGTGCCACGGGCCGTGCCACGGACACGGTTGAGAATTCCCAGGCACGGCCCGGCACGAGCACGGGCATGGCCCGCCGTGCTGGCCCGCAGGCACGGCCCGCGGGCCAACGGCTATAAAACGGCTAGTTTTTTGCCAAAAATTCTATAAATACTCACCTCCATTTCATTCCCAAATCACAAAATCACAATCTCTTCTTCTTATCTCTTATATTCTCTAAATCTCTAATAATCCTTATTTTCTTAAATTCTCTAATTATTCTCTTAAATTCTCTAATTATTTTCCTAATATCGGAAAAAATTAAAAAGTTCGTAATCGTAATTAGTGGAGCGTTGAAGCACGGTTGTAAGATCTAAACTAATCTTAAATTTATTATTGTTTTATTGTTATTATTAGAATAATCTTGTTTAATTATTATTGTTGTTAATTGTTATTGTTGTTGTTATAATTGTTGTTATTAATTATTATTATTATTACAATTGTTGTTATTTTTTATTTTTGTTGTTATTGTTATTGTTATAGTTGTTGTTATTAATTAATATTATTGATATTTTTATTGTTAAAATTATTGTTATTAATTATTATTATTATAGTTAACCACTTTTTATTAAAAAATTAATTGTTAATTATGGCATCGAACAACCCATCATCTAGGTCTAGGGGGAAAGGCCGACTTATCCGTAGTAGTAGTTCTAGGGAACCACCAAATACAACGAGCCCCCAAATTACGAGTCAAACCAATGACCCCATTTACTTCCCCCCGGGCTATGAGCCATATAATACGTCGGGATTTCCAGCACCACCACTAAACCAATTTCCACTACCACCATACCAATTTCCACCTAATTATATCGGTAATCAACAAAACTATTGTTCTAGCCAAGGTAGCCAAGAAAGTACCCGAATTCCCTCCGGTTCTACCCCTTCTACTGCCACTCCCACTAGTCCCACTACTAACCATCACACACATCATGAATGGTTAACCGAAACTGAGATGCTACTTTTGAAAAACCGAAGGAGTGAGGTATGGCGTTATTTTGTCCTAAGTAAAGATGGTGAACAATGGGCAAAATGTAAAACATGTAATAGTGTATTCACGGCAGTTACCAAAAACGGGACGGGACACTTATCTAGACACATGAAAGCTTGTGCAAAACCAGCTAGTGATCCAACCCAGCCCAAAATTTCCCAATTCCATCCATACGGCTTTACATACAACTATGAGAGGGATAGGGATGAACTAGGAAAAATGATAGTACACGCCGAACAACCTTTTCTTTTCTCGGAAAGTGACGCATTCAACACCTACATTAACAAAGCACTACAACCCCAACATAAAAGAATCTCTAGGAAAACCGTTCGTTCCGCCGCAATGAAAAATTTCCTAGAGTACAAAGTCCGGTTACAAGCCGAATTGAGTAACCTTAACTGTAGAGTATCTTTAACAGCCGATTCTTGGGATAGTGGTTATAAATATCACTATTTATGTGTGACTTGCCATTGGGTAGATGATCAATGGATGTTACAAAAAAGAATAATACATTTCAAAATGCTGGAATACCCACACACCGGCATTAACATTGCTCACCATTTAATGCAAGCAATAGACGAATACAACCTTCGAGATAAAATGATGTCTATGACTTTTGATAATGCAACCTCTATGACATACACAGCTAATCTTATCAAACAAAACTTAACCGATGTACTATTAGACGGTGAAGCTCTTCATACTAGATGTGTTTGCCATGTACTTAACTTATGTGTACAGGATGGAGTTCGGGCAATTGGCCCATACTACAGCAAAATCAGAGATGCTATTATGTCTATTAATAGCTCTAACATGAGATACCAAGAATGGAAGAGTTTTCTAAAACAACAAAAGATAAGGGTAATAAAAATTAGAACCGATTGCCCAACTAGGTGGAATTCCACCTATGACATGTTAACAAAGGCAATTGAGTACAAGGGCCCGTTAACATTATTTTACAACCAAAAATTTCCACAAAATGCTTTGTATGATGATGATTGGAAAAACTGTGAAAGATATATGCAATTTTTACAGTTATTACATAACATGACGTATTGTTTTTCTACTGTTTACAATCCTTGTGCTCAAAACTTTCTTTCTAATGCATGCTTACTCGCCCAACTTTTCGCTGATCATCGCGATCAAAGTGATTATGATCAGTATCTTCCAGCAATGGAAAAAAAGTGGCGTAAATATTATAGTGAGATTCCTTTGATTTATATTTTTGCTTCCATATTAGATCCTAGGCAAAAGTATGAAAACACATTTATGTTAGTTGACATTTACTTTCAATGCATGTTTCTTGACGATGATGTAGAAAACTATAAGACTAATGTGAAGGATCAGTTTTTTGCTTTATATAGAGTCTATGAAGCCAAATATGGCACCGTTCCTCGCTCAGGGCCTTCCCAACCATCTAAAAACGTAAGTAAGAAGGCCAAACATTTATTTTCACAAGCTACTAACTTGATTTCAAGGTTTTCAGGTGATTCATCAATCAGGAGAACGCAAAGCGACGTCTCGGAGTTGCAGATGTACCTGAGTTACGACTTCACCAAAGGCATGGACGACGATGAGATAAACAGCCTCGACCTCCTTGCATGGTGGAAACAACAAAGCTCGAAGCATCCAACTTTGGCGGCAATGGCACGAGACATTCTTGCTATCCAAGTTTCCTCCGTCGCCTCCGAACGAGCTTTCAGCGCATCCGGAAGGGTTTTAGACGATAGAAGAACAAGTCTAAAACCCGAAACACTAGAAATGTGCGTGTGTTTCAAAGATTGGTTGGATGCGGAAAATCGCTCACAAGACCGTTCTTACGACCACAACGACAACGAAGAAGGAACCTCCGCTTCCGGTTCGGGTTCGGCTAGTTCCCAATCTATGCAACTAGCCGATGACCTTGAAGGCGAAGGCGAAGACGAAGACGAAGACGAAGACGAAGACGAAGACGAGCAAGAAGAAGGAGAAGAAGAATAGACAATTATTGTATATTGTACGATTTTAAAAATATCAATTTTATCATTTTCCAATTTTTGTTTAATACCATCATTGTATGGTTTTTATCATTGTTATCATTGTACAATTTTCTCAACTCAAGTAATAATAATATAAAGTACGCATTATTCACATCCAAAGTCCAATTTGCCTTTTTTCCCCGTTTTGTTACAATTTGTAAATTCATATTAAAATAAAATAAAATTATACCAATTACTAATAAATCATAAACATTAAATTTTAAAGTAATAGTATAAAGTAAATATATAAATATAAATATTGAATATACAAATTATAAAACATAAATATTCAACTTATAATTATAAAATTCATAACTTAATAACTTATAACTTATAAGTTACCTTATAAAACTTATAATTATAATTTTATAACTTATATACATTATAAACTTATTAATTTATAATGTTGTCATTAAAAAAAAAAAAAAAAAAAAAAAAAAATGAAAACTGCACCAGCCCGCGCAGTCAGCCCGCAGGCCGGCACGTGGCCGGCGCGGCACGAGCCCGCCAGGCACGAGGGTCGTGCCGTGCCGTGGGCTGGCCTGTGAAAATGGCCGGCACGGCACGACACGAAATCCTGGGCCCGCCGGCACGACCGACACGACACGAACCAGCCCGTGGCCCGCCAGACACGGCCCGCGGCGGCCCGGCACGGCACGGTGCCCAGGATTATTTATGTATGTCAAAATCCATATAACCATTATAAAAATGCAAACCAAATTATTGTAGCTTATGAATAGTACTTTGTGGTGTTATTACAGCCTTGCCCTCAACATTAATGAATTGCCAATTCTGCCCCTTATTCCCACCGACTTACTTGGCCCTTGCTCTCTCACCGACTTCCCCACCTTCTTCCCCCCTCTGTCTGAAGGAAAAAGGGTCAGAGTATTTAGGGAAAACAAGGAGAGAGAAACCTAGAGAGAGAAACTTCTGTAACTCAAGACCAACGACGATCATCCCTTTCGACGATGGTGCTTCGATTCTTCTCTGCATTTCGATTTTTCGAGTCTGAGGTTGTGGAAGACGATTTCTCGATCGTCACATTCATCAGGTTCGATCTCGTTTCTCTTTCTCGATTTAGTTTCAAATTTTTGGGCTTTACTTATTCGATTGTCGTGGATTTTTTGCATATATGTTCCTGTTGTTTTTGATATGTTTTCGAATTTTTTGGGGTTGAATCTTTGTGGGTGTATTTGTGCAAAATCGTTTCATTTTTAATGGGGTTTATTTGATCGATTTCTTTTCGATATTTTGGGTTTATTTGTTCGATTGTTTTTCGATTTTTAATGAGTTTATTTGTTCTATTTATTTTCGTTTTTTGGGTTGAATTTTAGTGCCTTCTTCGATTGTGTGGTGGTTTTTTTTGGGTTGAATACGAGTGATTTATGTTTTTTGGGTTGATTTTGTTATATTGTTAGTATATAAAAAACCTTGCTCCCCTTTCTCTTTCTTGTTCAAATTGGTTCAATTTTCATCTAACCTTTAATATATATGAATGTCTGTTTTTTTTTTTATTTTTTTATTTTTTTTATTTTTTTTTTATTTATTTATTATTATTATTTCTCCTCTATTTTCCTTTTTGTTTTGTTTTTTTTTTCTCATCCTCCAGTTTCTCTGTTTTTGTTTTTCTAAAATAGGCAGGAGGCGTAAGACGGAGCAAGGTTTGGTGGATTCGAGTTTGAGGTGAAGAAACTCAAATATTATTGCATGGTCGATTTGTTTTTAATTTATTTATTTCAAATGTAATGATTTATTTATGATCTGTGCTGTGATTTGTGTGTTGTTGTTGATGTTTGTTTGTGTTTTGTGGAATTGATGGAATTTTAATTTGATTGATTGAGAAACAAGCTCACTTGATGTTAGGCTACTTTTTTTTTTGTCAAATCTGAAGTGTTACATTTGAACGATTGTACCATTATTGTTAAATTCGGTTTGAAACTTATTTATTTGTGTTCTTTTGTATGAGTGATGTATGAGTAATTGTTTCATGAAGATGGTTGGCCTTCATTGTTTCTTCCTTTAAGGTTGTGTTCATTTCCCTTTTTTTCGTTGTATTTCTTGTACCTTGATTATGAACGGTGCTTTAATTTCTATATTTGCAGAAATGGAGGCTGTAGACACCCATTTGTGTCTCCCCGAAACCAAACCCAGTGATGAATACCTTTCACGTCATTTGATTAACGAATAAACTGAAAGTGTGAAAAGTCTAGTGATGAGGATGTTTTTATTAAAATCTCTTCTTTCTGTTTTTGAAAATATTTCTTTTCTTACCTTATTTTTGAAAAACGTGCATTCTAGTTTAGTTTGGTCCATGATAAGGGTCCAATAATGGTGTAGTTGGATGGGATTTGAAAAGACCTTTCCAACGATATATTATAAGGCCAATTCCGATGAATAATGAAGAAGTTACGGCCAAAATACTAAACTGGGCCCGATTTGGTTTTTATATGTGGCCCAATGATCTAGAGGAGGGCCTATTATTAATTATCATTCGTAAAGATATTAGGATTGATTATAGTCTTTTAGAATACTCTAGAAGGTTTTCTTAAATCCTAATGGAGTTAGGATTGATAATTATGTTTTAAAGAGTTTGAAATTGAATAAAATTACTCCTTTTGAGAATCCTTGTTTTGTACGAAGTGGAATATATTCAGATTTTATTTTTGTGACTCATAATATTTATCCAAATTTTATGGTTGGATAGGTCTTGAAATTATCTTTCCAATGATATATTATAATATTAAATCCGATTTATAACGAAAAAGATATAAATGAGACATGAAACTCAATCCAAAACTGACACCCTTCCACTATTTCGGCCATATCTTTTTATCTACAAAAGATTTTAATCTGCTTCAAATTGAGTTGGAAAGTAGACTTCAAGAGCTTTCCAACGAAATATTATATGCCTTATTTAGACTTCCGGATCAAAAGATATAATAAAAACAAAAACGTGTGAATCTGATTATTAGCGCCTGAGGGCGCTAATTGCCAGCGTCGACGCTAATCAAGTTTTATGCGCGTCAGAACTCTGTTTCGATTTTCTATCTTTTTGGCTGATTTTCTCTATAAATAGCTTTCTAAAAACCCCGTTTTCATTCACCAATTATCATCAACTCTTATCAAGAATTTCTTGATTCTCTTTTTTTTCTAAACTAGCATTTTACAAACACAATTCCTCATACATTAGCACTAGACACACCTAGCATAATTCGAAGTTGCCTTCGCCCTAGACGTGAAAAGTTTTAATTTCTAAAGGTTTGGTCCCAAATCTTTATTTCAATTATTATTTAATTTAATTATTTAGATTATTATTTTTCTTGAAGTTACTAACACGTGTATTTTGTTATTAGAAAGAGATACGAGACATCCAAGTACGTGATTTAATTGTTTGCATTGTTATTATGATATAGAGATCATGTCTAGGTTGTTATTATGATTTCTAGTGTCATATTAGGGTGTTTTGATCTTCCTATTATCACGTTTAGGGTAACAACTATAATTTCTAATATCAAATATGACAATTGTTATTTCTGTGATCCTTCCTATTCTTTCTAGTATATCATGTTAGTATCATGTTAGAGCTAAAGTTTTGATTTTTATTGCTTAGTGACATGCTAGGGTTTGTTATTAATCTTGTTAGTATCATGCCTGGGATTTTGTTATTATTATGCTTTAACATGATTATGATTATTTTTATGATTCATGATTATTATTATTGTTATGATTATTATTATGCTGCTTGATTATATTTATTTTTATTGCTTGATCACACCTTTTATGCATGTTTAAAGGGAATTTGGTACTTATAATCACGCTTAATAAGATAATTAATAATCTTGTTTAGGGTTAATATTGATTATAATTCAAGTGATCGTCAATAATAGATTTATTTGTGCATTAAATTCAACCAACATAGATAAACATGTTTAGGGTTAATCCTATTGATTGCATGTTAGTCAGAAAGCGCACATGAATACGATCAGAATAAAGTAGAGGCCTATTATTAGGGCAGGTTCAATCTCTTTTAGGTTGGATTTGTACCTTCATCCCCGAACCCTTATTTGATTCAAGACCTTATGGAGTTGACGATCTCTTAGATCGTTAAGGGGTGTAACCTTCACCCTGCGAACGGTTTACAAGTTCCTAAAACTTGTTGGCGACTCTTTTGCTCTATTTTCTTTCCCTTTGGACGCCAACGTACTTTAGTGTATGATCACAGTGGGGTTCAAGCTAGGGGTAATGCTTGAAATATTCCCTACAAGACTGAACAATTATTTCAGAATTATGAGGTGGTTTTGATTCAATCTATAACCCTTATAAAAATGCAAAACGAACTAATGTAGCTTATGTGGTGGTTCATTTGTGGGCTTTCCTGCAATTTTTGATTGAATCTGATTTCAAATGGCTCTTACATAGCAACTTGCTACTAAGGTATCTCTTCATTCTTATGGTTTCCTTTATTTAGTTCGTCTGTACATTTGGGAAATTTTCAATTCAATTTGATGAAATTTCAGGGTTTTCCATATTTTAGTTCCGTTCATTTTAAATTTAGGGGTTTTATTGATTCAAGTATTGTCATTCTAAAATTGGAGTTTTTTCGAATTAATTTAATTAGTTCAAATATTTGGGGTGGTTTATGCATTCTAAAGCTATTTCTTATGTTAGGATATCTGTAATGATTTTCTTATCTTTATTGTGATTTGTGTGTTGTTGTTGATGTTTGTTTTTGTTTTGTGGAATTGAAGGAATTTCAATTTGATTGATTGAGATCTGGAATGGTTCTACTAAAGGGCTACTTTTCAACCTCCGAACAGGTGCCACTTTTTTTTAAGCTTCCTTTGTTTTTGTTGTCACATTAAATGAGATGAAACACTCCATATTTTGAAATTTGGAAATTATGTTTTTCACTGGAAGGTAAATATACCATGCCACCTAATGCTGCTAACCTGATTATTTATAAGAATGTAAAATCATGGCCAATATGATCAGAACCGTTTGAATGATCAATAGGGTAGTATTGTACCATTGGCTTTAATAAAATTGTTACTATTCCTAAGGTTAAAATTTTACTCTTCATGGTCATCAAAAAATAATAAATTGCTATTCTTCTAATTTAAAATGAGGTCAATTCACTTCTTTTTGTTGTGTTACAAACACACTACTCAATATTCCTTTCTTATGGAGGAGGAGAGGAACTTCTGATGCAGAATTTGCTCCGCATCATTTTTAAAATTTTACTTAATACAAGGAATTAAATATATTAACATGGGTAAATCCTGTATTGTGTAGGCAAACATTTTAAAGAAATGTCGTGACCATGGAATGGGCCCTGTAGGATTCTATGAGCCTCGTTTTCGTGAGGGAGGGAAGTTGCATTTGAGCCTGATGTGTTTTGGTCAGTTTTGGGATCCCGAGGCCAGCAAATATGTAAAAAATTGGCCAATTGATCAAGCAAAACCACCGTCACTTCCACATGAATTTCTAATGTTAGTTGAAAGAGCCATCAAGGACTCTCACTCTCTTATAGCTAAACAGTCTAAGGCAAATAATGTAGAAGACATTCTTCCCCCAGTTGTAAATTATTATACACAAATTGGACAGCTCAGTTTACATGAGGTTTGTAATTCTAAAGTTTTATCTGATTTTTCTTGTATTGAAATTACATGGCTTAGCTTTGAGTATGATAACCAACACTTTCATGTTGAAGAAACATCTGGACAGCTCTTCTATAATACCTATTAGAAATTGTCTTACTGTTGCTATGACCTTTTTTGTTTGCTTGCTTGTTTGTTTGCTGTCAAATGGAATCTTGTTTATTCTTAGAAACAAGTAAATGATCTCCGAAATTGAAGTTAATGGGTATTGTATTACACAATAAAGAACATCTTTTGAAGTTTGGTAAAAAAACTCCAGCTTCTTTACTCATAGTCTCTAATAAGTAATGACCACCTAATCTCCTAAAAGGTAGAATAAATTTAGAAAATTGGTGTTTGCTGACTTGCTTTATGCTCTATAGCCTCTATAATACAGGGCCAAAGTGTGTGTCAGCTTAATAAGTTAAGGAACTAACACCTTAATAGGTGAAGAGTAAGTTCCCTATCTGGCAATTAACTTTGCTTTTTTGTTCTACAATTATACGATTCTATAGTCTATAATGTCAAGCAAAGTGAAGCTCTAGGACCTCATTGCCTTGATTGATACATTCATCTGCTTGTTTCAGGACAAGGATGAGAGTCGAGAGAGTCTTGGGAAAGGAATACCTATTGTTTCTTTCTCCATTGGTGACTCTGCTATATGGTGATCAGGCAAATACTGAAAAGGCTGATAAGATCAAATTAGAATATGGAGATGTTCTAATATTCGGAGGTAAATCAAGACGTATTTTTCATGGTGTCTCAGCAATTTTTTTGTGAAGTTTGAAGTGTTATTAGTGGATTGGTAAGTGAATTAGTGAGAGTTTTGAGTGGTTATTTTACACATGGATGAAGAAGTTTTTTATTCAATAATTTTTGGTAATGCTTAAGTTAGGGTTTATTTTGCACTGTTGTTATATTCGGTTTCAAAATTTCTTAATTTTGTGTTCTTATGTTGAATCTACTTGTAAAAATGGCCAGGGAAGTTCATATTTGTTTGCTTTTTTATTTTTTTATTTTTACTTCAGAGCTTTCTCTAACCCCCCACTAAAGCAAAATAACTTTCCTCTCCATTGAAGTAACTTGAAAGGTAATTTGTTAATTTCCCGATCCGATGCCCAGGTATAATTCTTTCTGATTTCTCTCTCTTGTTCTAATTGGTTCAATGTTCATCCCTTCATTTAGATTTTTCCTTTTATTTGAATGTTAGACTGATTAAATTTTTGTTCATTTCTGGGTTTTTTCTGCAGTTGGATTTTCTGGGGATTTATTTATTTATTTTAATATTGATTCTGAGTTTAATTCAGCTTTACTAGGCATTTTTGTGTTTAAAGCTTGATGATAATATCATTGGAGGAACTTAGTTATAGAAAGGCATGCCTTTTTATTGGCAGAAGTGAATTAGTTTTTTGTAATTAGTTTGATAGAAGTAGAATATCATATTGCTAAAAGTTTTCTATTTGATTTGGCATAGGATCTTCATTAATTAAAAGGAGATTATGCCAGTTTTCCAGTCAATGTGATCTTCATGGATTAAAATTGACATACCAATGAACATCCTATATTTTTTCATACAACTAACATGGTTTCCTGACTTGGGTGGTTTAAAAAATATCTCTAATTCATGTATTATGTTTAGTATCTGCCTGAGATTGCTGTGCTATTATTATGGTATGGACGAGGTTGTGGTGAAAGTAAGATAAAGCTCTAAAATGTTCAATGTGATGGCATAACCATTTGTTTGTATCTTATACTCGATGTAGTATAGTTGTATATAGACTATATTATTTGCTTGAATCTTATACTAGATGTAGTATTGTAGGGAATATTTCAAGCATTATCCCTGAACCCCACTGTGATCATACACTTAAGTACGGTGGCGTCCAAAGGGAAGGAAACTAGAGCAAAAGAGTCGCCAACAAGTTTTAGGAACTTGTAAACCGTTCACGAGGTGAAGGTTACACCCCTTAACAATCCAGGATTTCGTCAACTCCAATAGGTCTGGAACCATGACTGATAGTTCGGGGATGAAGGTACAAATCCAACCTAAAAGACATTAAACCTGCCCTAATAATAGACCTCTACTTTATTCTGATCGTATTCATGAGCTCTTTCTGATATGTCCATTTTATATTGTAATTTACCTCCGTCCCTTGGTCATAATTAGCAGTGTTTTTGGCTCTTTCGAACCACTTTTATTACTAATTTGTGTTTTCTAGTGTTTTCGTAGTCTTTGTTGAGTTTTGTAGGAAATTGCGCCTTTGGAGCATTTTCTCGGGTTTTTCATGGAGCGACTACGGGAATTAGAAGTGCACGACCATCTTTGAAGCCCAAGGCCGGTTAGAGTCATCGAGCCGGTGATTAAGGGCTCGGTAATTGAGATTCCGAGGTATTTGGACCGAGTATTCAAGACCCGAAGAGGAAATCCAGATTGGGCCGAGAAATCAAGCCCAATCGAAGTTCGAGCCTCAAAGTGAAGCAAGGGCCCGATCGGGCAAGTGTTAGCACGATCGGGCGCGGCATGCTTAGTGCTGGGCGTGGCTTATAGCGCGCCCGATCGTGCGAGCGTGTAGCACGATCGGGCGATGCTGCTGAGAAGGAGCGCAAAGAAAAAGGCGGGCCCGATCGGGCGGCCCTTCGCCCGATCGGGCGCGTGTTTTTATGGGACCTGATTAGTTTAGTTTTAATTTTTGTTTTAGGGAATGTTTAAGTACGAGATTTGTACGTAATTTTTGATTACCTTTTTTCTTAGACTTTCTCTCTCTACTTAGAATATTTCTCTCTCCTAAATTCTCTCTCAACTTTTGTTCTTAATTATTTTCATTAATCCAGATTTCTTTTTGGTAACAATTTCTTCTCTTTTAATTTCAGCTATTTTACTTATTTGATTATGCTTTTATTTATTTATTTGATTAGTTTAGTTATGATGATACGTGAGTAGTTTTATTTCTAGGGTTTATGGGGATCTAATAAATGATATGAAGGGGTAATTTTGTGATTGTTAATTATCAAAGCTTGGTTGATTTCCTATTGATTGATTTAATGCTATGCAATTAGGTTTGGCCAGATTTAATTGTATGAGTTTAGCAATATTAATTCGAGATTCGACAGATGAGAATTGATGTTTAGGCTTAGTTTCAATAGGCGGATTAATTTATAAATGGTTAAGTCGAGATTCGACAGATGAGATTTAATACCGGTAAATTAACTCTGTGATTATAATACGTAGCGAAAGCCCTTTATAATCTGATTAACCAATGCTTGATGATTGCTTATTATGATTTGCCCTGGAATATTGTTTATTAGTGAACCTATGCCCTAGGCCTTTTAATATTTGATTTTCCCCCTACTTTATTTCTTTCGACCTTATTCTTCGTAGTTTAGATTTTATTCACAAAAATATTGGTTACTTAGATAAATTAGACTATAATAATTAATTAGGAATAGAAAGACTTGTTTCCCTGTGGAGTTCGACCCTACTTCCCTATCTACTTTAGTTAGAGGATTTAGGTAATTATTTTTGATCAGGGGATACGACTTTACCCTGTCAAAATTTGGCGCCGTTGCCGGGGAAACGGTTTTATTTTTGTTTTCTGATTATATTTTTGTAGTCTAGATTATCCCCTTTTGTATCAGAGAACGTTAGTTCTTTGAGGCAATTCTCATATTTGTCTTTTAGTTCTTTGTTTATGCCCAGGTGTTCCAGATCAGGTTACATCCCATTCGACCTTGAGATCGAGCGCTCTTTTCATAGGCAAAGGAAACTCTATAGACAAATTCTGGCGGGTTCTGAGGAGGACAACAGTCGAAGAGATCCTCCCTCTGATTCTAGTGACACAGATATTCCTTCTGATTCAGAATCAGAGATGACGGCCCAGAAGAAACTCAGTGACTACTCGCAACCGAAGCTCACATATTTCCCGCACCTTACTCCCACTCCAGCTCTAGATGGAGTTCAATTTGAGATCAAGCCCCAATTTATCACTACGATAGAGAGGAAGCAATTCAGTGGAGCTAAGGGTGAAGATCCTAATCTTCACATCGCAGATTTCTGCTAATATTGTAACACCATTAGACAAGCCGGGGTCACGCAAGACCAAATCAGGGAGATTCTTTTTCATTATGTGGCAAAGCTAAATTATGGTTTAATGGTTTGAATAGAACTGCACTTGGTATTACTGACTAGGAAACTCTTGCTTTGAATTTCTATAATAAATACTATCCTGCAGAGAGAACAACGGTGCTAAGGAGTGCTATTCAAAACTTCTCTCAAGAGGCCGACGAAACGTTATATGAGGCTTAGGAGAGGTTCAAGGATCTATAGAGAGAGTGCCCCCACTACAATCTAGCACAATGGCAATTGATCCAAGCATTCTATAATGGACTTGGAAATTCTTCTAGATTGGTGCTAGATTCTGCAGCTAGTGGGAGGTTCATGAATTTAAATGTGGACGACGCAGGACAGGTTATCGAAGACATGGCAATACAAAATTCCCAATATGGGAATCCGAGAGGGTTTGGTTGTGGGGAGACACGTTTGGGTGTCTATTGAAGCCCCCACTTTGACTGAGTTTGGAGAAACGCAAGTTTCGAAAACGAAAGTTAAAGTATTGATAGGGACGGAGAATGATTCAAAACGTTCTGCGATCCTAAATCATTCTTGCAACGCCGATACCTGCAAACTAGCGTTAGTTAAACAGATAAAAGTGTTAAGAAACGCGTATCTTACACCGTCAAGCACACGTCTCTGAGGGTAACTAATTTGTTGTGACGATCTTCCGCAAGCTAGAGAATACCGCCTGAAGACTGCTACGCCTGTAACTGCCTCCAATTTCCGCTGTGATAGTCTTCGAAAAGATAACTGCTTGTTGATCCTTAATGCTGCTATGCCAGTACATCGGCGCTTTGCTGCTTGTGAACCAGTATGTCGGTGCTTTTGCTGAATAGTTGCCAACACAACTCTTGTATGATGTATGACAAACCGATTTAGGGAAAGTTGTCAATGCTTCGTAACAATCTGTCATAAGAATTTTGCTACGATCGACAATCCACATCTTGGAATATAACTCTTGAAAGCAATCCACCTTGGAAATTTCCCAACGCTATGCGACAATCTTTTTAGGAAAATATTGCCACAATTGACAATCCTTGACTTGGAACATTTGCAAAAAAGAGTCGACCGACAATCCACTTCGGGAAAATTTGCCACTTATTGAAATGAATGACAATCCACGTTGAGGAACCTTTGCCGAAATTTATGATGAATAGAGACCTACAATAATCCTTTGGGAAATTTTGCCATAGGGAACTGGGTGTATGATAATCCAATCTCGGAAAACTTGCCAGCGCTGACAATCTGAACTTGGAAAACATTGCCAAACAGAGAAGGAGCACAATAATCCACGCTTGGAAACTTTGCCAGAGATGACAATCCAATCTTGAAAAAATTGTCGTTGAAGAAGATGCACGACAATCCATTTTTGGAAATATTGTCAGTTGGGATGACAATCCAATTTTTGGAAAAATTGTCGTTCAAGAAGAATGCGCGACAATCCATATTTGGAAATATTTTCATTTAATAAGAATGCCCGACAATCCGTATTTGGAATATTGTCATTTAAGAAGAATGCGCGACAATCCATATTTGGAAATATTGTCGTTTAAGTGCTTGCTTTTAAACCGATACGTTGGTGCTTGTAATGAGCCAGTGTTTTAGGCGCTTAAGCTAAGTGAGACGATTTTTTGTCAGGTCAATAACTAACTACGATTGTAACCGAGCCGACTACTAACCATGTCAATTTGCTTATAGGGGCTAATTGGCGTACCAAGGAACCCGAAATTGCTGTATGAAGTCGAAATAACCGTTCTGAGAGGCTTCGAGCTCTGTCGCTGCAAAAATATCGTTGGCGCCAAGAATTGGCTCTGTCGCCAGACGCTGGGATCTACAGTCAGGCGCTGAACTCTGTTGCCAGACGCCAGATGTTTGTCTGGTGCTGGAGTCGGGTCTTCCCTATTCTGCTCTTGCTGCTGCTGCTGCTTGGTTTTGCTCCGAACTTTGAGCTTGGTCGTTTCCTTTCAACCAAATCCGCTCAAGTCTTTTGTAAATTAAAGCTCTTTATCTTTAATTTACCGATCAATGTAACTCCTCTTATCTAATCTCCTGTGTCATATTCGCGGTTTAAAAAAAAAATCGGGAATGTCCCCGCTTGCTAGGATGCACCTGCATTTATATCTTTGACTATAGGACTTTGCTTATCTTTCTTTAGGGTTGACCTAAGACTTAGTGTTGCTTGACTCATTGACTTGACATGACTCAAGGTATAAACTTGACTCGTTGTGATTGACTCAAGGTTGACTCGACTCGAAGTGTTTGACACATGTGTTAGACTCAAATCATGGTGATATGACACGACATGACTCAATGTGTACATACATGACTCGTGTGTGCATAGTAATGTGTTCGTGGGACTTAAAAACGCAAAAAAGCAAAAAAATTCCTTCATTTTTGTGGAGGGTACCGACTTTCTCCCGAAAAAGAAAGATACGAAAAAGAATCGAAGTTTTGTTTTTAAAGGTGCATGTTGAATGAGCTTAGTCAAATGTTGTTTCTCACAGTACAAGGATTGTAACATCTTAGACTATCCTAGTTGACTCGATAATGAAAGTATTTAAGTAACTTAGGCACGGAGGCTAAGTACTTCATACTTTGTGATGCAATGATGATTGATGAGCAATTTTGACATGACAAGGCATGCTTCAGCGTTATGTCAAGATTTCATGACAAAGGGTTCCTTAGGGAAAGACTATTTGGTCATGTATTTGTGTGGTGTGTGAAAGTGATACTAAAGTTAGGCCGCAAGGGCTAAGTGTGTGAGAAAATATATTGAAAAGAGTCAAATA